AACACAATTATGTTTGAGATAACAAAAAAAAAAAAAAAAATTAAAATCATTAAAAATTGAAACTGTTATTATTTGTTACTATAAATAGTAAAATTCATACTTTAATATTAAAATATTAAAAATAGTAAAATTCATACTTTAAAGTTCATATTTTAAAGTGTCTAATGTAAAATCAAATAATAGACATCAACACCGCTTGACACTAATTTCTGGCAAAAAAGTTTTCTGTTCATCAAGCAAAATTTTGTATATTTCAACGACAATTTTATCACGCCTAGGTCTATTTCTTTCGTTTGACAACAATTTCAAGTCACCTATAACCATTTACTCTAATAACTTCTTCGAGCCTAATATTATACATCTGTTATCATTAAATATATTACCATACTACTGTTACAACTGAATAAATGAACGTTTTATATTTTTACAACTGAAAAATATAAAACAAAATTTTTGACATTATTTTAATTTAGCAAAGAACTTAGGCTACAATGCAAAGTTATTTTTACCTTCAGGCACAATCTTAATGCACAAAAATAATAAATGCAGAATCTTGTATAAAAAATGAAGCAATGTCAGTCTAAAGTAATATATATATATATATATTACTTTAGACTAAAATATATATATATATATATATATATATATATATATATATATATATATATATATATATATATATATATATATATATATGTATATATATTCAAATTTTTTTCTATGAGATAATATTCATATAGATTCAGAGAAATATAAAATATTCTGATATATAGGCACATTTATGCATATAAACTTACCTGTCAAAAATTACAGTCAGTTTTCCATGTTGAATACATAAAGTATATATCTATTATAAAATAAAACAAAACATTAAACTTACTCGAATCAGTAACAGTTCGACTGTCTAAATATTTTTATTATTAACCCTTCTATTTAAAAAAAGAAACAAATGATTTAAAGTGACTAAAAAGCACTTTAGCTCTTTCAAATTGCAGTAAAAAATAAAATAAATCTTGCTTTGCTAAGTTGTCTAGTTATTAAGAATTTGAAAACAAATAAGTAAAAAACCAAGGACAAACAAACATTTATTTACTAAAACTACTCTATTTAAACAAATTAAATTAAACAGAGAACAACATTAAAACTCTTTGAAAGCTGAAAAACTTTTCAGCTCAAATTTGCTTGCAGACCTTGCTTATAAAACCACTTGAATAAGAAAAGTATCAAAAAAGCCTAGAAGCTACTTAAAAATGGTATATGTAAGATTGAACTTTGAATGTTGACTGGAGTGGATATATATATATATATTTAAAAAATTCAAAATGATTTGTTCTTCTATAGCAAATAAAACCACTATAAATCTGAAGTTAAAAATGTAACAAATAATTTGTCCACTTTGAAATCATGGAAACAACATTATATGAACATATATACTAATTATAAAACACTATATAATTTTTTAATGTTACTTAGCATATAAAAACACCCCATTTAACAATCTTGCACAAATAAGATATAATACATTTCATACTTTTATAAAAACACATTTATATAAACACATTTATAAAACAACTATATAACATATATCACCACATACATGTATTTATCAAAAAGTATTAAACTTTGATCTTAATATACAAGCAAACTTATATGCAATCTTTTAACAACTATAAAACAACATTTATTAGCATCAATTATTTTTAATGTAACAAAGAATGCAGACTACAATGTACAACATTGTTAATAAAAATGAAGTTATGACAGTCAGTATATATTTATCTAAAGTAATGACAAAGAATAAACCATTTAAAAACAAAATTAAAAATTTCTAATGAATATATATTTAGATACCTTAAAAGCACAACAAAACATTCTTTTGACAAATTCTAGAACAAATGTTCTTAATTTTTCTATTTCTTATTGTTTTTCCTTAGAGAAAATATACATATAGATACAGAGAAATATAAAATAGACTGAAATAAACACAAACTTATGTATATAAACTTACATGACCACAAATAACATTTTATTTAACTTTTCAGATTAAATACATAAATAAAACTTTTTTTTCATTATTCTTTCTATAAAAAAAAATCTTAGCCTACGTATGAGAAAATGAATTAAACTTACTAAAAAAGCGATCAGTTCCTCTTAACTGCTCTAAAAAATAAAGCAAATACTTGCTTAAAATGTTTTAAAAAGACTAATGACAAAACTAACACAGTTTTCTTAAAAAAGAAACATTTTACTAATAAAACTATTTTACCAGTCAATTTAGATCTAACTTCTTCTAAAAAATGAAAAATAAATACATATTTAGATACCTTAAAATGAAGCATAACACAACATTCTTTTGACATAATGCAATTTTAAAAAAAAGATTAAAATAAATTAGTTACTTAATAAAATTTTAAAAAGATTATATATTACCTAACTAAACATTATCTACTTAATGTCTAATTAAACATTTTGAACTCGTAAATGAAACTACCTATTAGTCATTATTTAAACAACAGTTACCACCATAAAGAAAAGCCATTAAGATAACAACATTACGCAAAAAAATATCAAAGATAACGTTGTGTATTTTCAGAATATCATATAAATAGCTAGACAACACTTAGACCTAAAGCAGTGCTTGACAGGTAAGAATGAAAAATATATCTCTACATGTTTGCCCAGTCACACCACTTTGAAATCATGGAAACACCATTATATAAACATATATACTAACTATAAAACACAAAATATTTTTTCAATGTTATATAACATATAAAAACACCTCATTTAGCAATCATGTACACATTAGATAAAATACATTTCATACTATTATAAAAACACATTTAAATAAACAACTATATAACATATATCATCTCATTTAACAATTATATTCACATTATACAAAATACATTTCATACCATTATAAAAACACATTTATATAAACAACTATATAACATATATCACCAAATACACGTATTTATCAAAAACTTTTTTAACTTCAAGCGTAATATAAACATATATGCAAACTTTTAACAACTATAAAACAATATTTATTAGCTTCAATTATTTTTAATGTAAAAAAGAATGCAGATACAATGCACAACATTGTTAATAAAAATGAAGTTATATCAGTCAGTATATACTAATCTTAAGCAATGAAAAAGAAGAAACCATTTAAAAACAAAATTAAAAATTTCTAGTAAATACATATTTAGATACCTTAAAATGAAGCATAGAACAACACTCTTTTGACAAAGTGCAGAAAAATTATTTTTAATTTTTCTATTCCTTATTATTTATCCTTAGAGAAAATATATATATAGATATAAAGAAATATAAAATAGACTGAAATAAATCGAAAATCTTAATTTATGTATGAGAAAATAACTTGAACTTACTAAAAAAACCGATCAGCTCCTCTTAACTGCTCTAAAAAATAAAACATATACTGCTTAAAATGTTTTAAAAAGAATAACAACCCAATTGAAACAGTTTTCTTAAAAAAGAAACATTGTACTAAAAAACTATTTTACCAATCAATTTAGTTTTAACTTATTCTAAAAAATAAAAAATAAATACACATTTAGATACCTTAAAATGAAGCTTAACACAACACCCTTTTGACAAATTTCAGAAGAATTTTTTTTTGTTTTTCTATTCTCAACTATTTTTGCTAAGAGAAAATACATATAGATATACATATATATATATATATATATATATATATATATATATATATATATATATATATATATATATATATATATATATATACATAACAAACTAACAATTATTCAAATTTTTATTTTTAAAAATAAACAACATCAATTCAAACTAAAAATTATTTAAATTTATATTTTATAAAATAAACAACATCAATTCTTCTTGAAAATAAGTGTCCAATTTGCTTGCTAATTTTACTCAAAAGACCGCATTTAGAAACAACTAAGAAACAGTGTATTTTACATAATGCAGAACCGTAATAACCGTTGTTTTTTTTTTGTCACAATTGGGCTTTGAGGATTCACTTTCAACCATTTCACTTTAAAGAGTTTTGCTTGTCTTTAAGATTTTCATCTCTATACTTTTTATCTCTTCTCAGAAGTAGCTGGTATTTTATAACATCTCTTGATGTTGGTAACTCAGAATCTAAAAACTCACTTGCAAAGCCAATCATAACACTTAATTTGCAACTTTGACTATTTTTATGTGTTCGTTCATTCGTTCCAACAATAATGAATTCAAAGTTTACAATAGTTTATAAACAATATATTTATCGAAAATTCAACATGTCAAATCAAATGCAACATTTCAAATGTAGCATATTTTGAACAATATTATATTAATTATTTCATATAATTTATTGGACAAATCCAAGTTAAACCAAAATACCTTTTATATTTATACAAAATAAATAAGTTTTAAGGCTTAAATGACTGTTTAGATGTCTAATAAAGGCTATTTAGGTTAAAGGATTTGATTTAAGATGTTTTTGAGTCAATCTGAATAACCAGTCAAATGCTGCCTCAACCTGTATTTACCACATTTTTTATTCAAAACATCAGTTTTTGAGATCAAAATTTGAAGGCCTAAAAATTAAAAAATTTTATTTAATTTTTTGCATTATTTTTGTATAAGGGCCAACACATTTAAAATTCATATGGTCTAAGCATTTAGTGTAAAAAGTGAAAAATGAGCTGTCCTAATATGTGTGTATGCATGTGCGTGTGTGTGTGTATGTGTATTAGGGATGTATCAAAGCCAAGATGTTGTAGAACCTGAAGCTTTTATATTTATTCAGATAATACAAAATAGTCAAAGTTTGTAATAACATAGGTGAAATAGCATAATACTGAAGAAAATAAATAAGACATGGTTTTTGTATTACAAATACCTACTTTTATATAATTTTCTTTTGTAATACTAATATATTTTCTAATATATTTGTAATTAAATAAGTTTTGCTATAGAAAATTAAATAAAACTATTCAATTATTTAGGAGCAAAACAAATTTAAATGATTCACTTTCTGGTGCAGCTGTAAGTTTTTTATATTAAAAGCAATGATAATACTTAGTGTTTTTGTATAAATTTTAAAATTAATATAAGATATTTAAGTATATATAAAATTTTTTGATGTATAAATAATGCTAAACACTTTTTATAAATTTTTCTTTGTCAATTGAATTTGCTTTTTTTATTTACACAATGTTTTTTGTTACTTCTTATTGTTACATTTTATATATTTTGCTGTTTTATGTTGTTTAATTGATATTTGTTGCATATAATATTGGGTTTAAAATTGTATGGAAAATGTGTATGTATATATTTTTTTTTGTCAATTTAAGCATTTGTTTTCCTTGTTTATGTTTCTCTCACTCTCATTCTTTTAAGCATATCTTTTTTATGTTGTCTATCTCATTCATTCATTCTCTTTGATGTCACCTTCTCCACTCATTCTTACTTTTTTTAATGTCCTTAATTTTATCATTTTATAAAAGATGGAATTCATTCTTTTATTCTTTTCAGTTTATTAGGTTTGTTAAGTATTTTATACAATTATTTTTATAAAATTATTTTTTTCAGCCCGGTGATATTTTTAATCAGTCAATGTTTTCTGCTAGTGTTGCAAGATCTAACTTTGCTGCTGGATTCTCAAAGTACTATTTTTATGTTTTAGTTTTCTTATGTTTGTAAAAAAGGAAGGTTTTATAAAAAACACTCTTTGTCTTTACATTTCTTTTTTTATAAATATCATTTTGAAACATTTTTGAAACATTTAGGATACACATAATTTTTTAATCTTAGTCAACTTTAAATGATTGTTATTCAAAAACAATAAAAGACAGATTAATCTTTCTTTTTTAATTTAGTGATAAAAGAAAACGGAATTATATAATATAAAAAAACATTTCTTTATTATTATCTTTAATTTAATTAGAATACAATGATAGTGACAAAATCAATATAAAAAAAAGGTGTGCAAAAGTATTAGCACACTTGTAATCCTTCAAAGATTCTTAGAAAATTTAATATTTCATATATAATTTATAATATTTTGTATAAAATGGCAAGCCACCAAGGCATGCAAAGACTCTACACTTTGTCTAAATCAATTTCAGATATGCTCATGTTCGGGTTGCATCTAGTGAGTATAATTGCTTTATTTTCTGACATTTTTTCAGGATGACATGAGTGACTTTAGTCATCAACTGTGCTAAACTCGTTATAGTTTTTAAGCATTATTCCTGTATTTGCTGTTCTTGAGCTGGTGTCTGATTTTTTGGTTACTGAGACAAATTTTGGCCATGCCAACAACTAGTCACTTTTTTTAAATTAATATACTCTTTAAATTAATATTTTGTTGTTGCAATTTTTAAATTTTAACTAAATGTGTTTTAAATGACGTTTTCTTTGCTTTAATTTGTACTACTTAAATTTTTTATTGACTATTATTTAATAAATCAGTCAAGATTTGAATGGAAATCTTGTCATTATAACAGAGAAACAAGTTGAATGTGTTAAAACAAACAACTAGAGTTAGTGATAATTGTTTTTCATTATTCTTTGTATTTTTATCCTCTATTTGCAAAAGAGAGGATAAATATACAAACATAATTTTTTTTATATATGGAAAAAAAAAAGTTGAAAAGATTATTTTATTTTATTTTTTTATGTATTTTTTTTTTAATATTTTTTGAAATATTTATTTCTATGTGTATTTTTATAAATATTTTTGTATCATATTTACTACTTACTTACTTTACTATTTACTACTTACTTTTTACTACTGTGAGATTTTTTTTTACAGGTACTAAAGTTATTTATTAGTTTGTAAATATTATAGTTATAATAATCTTCTAAAGTATGAATAATTTTGTGATGAATTAAAATTGCAAAGAGTAGGGTAATACAGACTGTATAAAAATATAAATAAAAATGTTTTATTTAATTCACGATAAGACTCTGATATAGGACTCTCCCTTTAATTAATGATGAAAAGTTCTTTAAATAATTTTCTTAAGAAAGTTTAGATGTTGGTACAGATGGTACAGGCTTGTGAAGCTCTGAATATTAGGTTTTAAAGTGACATGGCATGAAATTGTTTTTTGTTAAAATAAATAAAAAATTATGTTGGATGTTCTTATATGTACAGTTCACTGCTAATATAATTTACTGTTCATCAAAATTATTGAATAACTTTTGTTTTGTTTATGTCTGGTTAGCTTTTATTAAATTCTTTTACAATCAATATTATATATTTTTATTGCCCTTCATTATTGCAGAGAACTATAATCATCTAGTAGAGTTACTCAATCCTTTTCTATATTATTCAATGTTGCCTAGTTTTCAATGTCTTTCAAGCAAGATTATTGCATAAATTGTTTTTTTTATTTTCACTAATGTAATGTCAAGTAAGCCTATTTTTAATAAGTAAGTATTTTTGTTACTATGGACTGCTCTGTAACTGATGGAACCCTTTATCCTCTTTTATAGCCATGGATTTCATCAGCATGATCTATATTGAGTAGTTAACAAAAAATAACGACTTTATTTTTAAAATAATTTTACTTTTGAAATTGGAAATCACTCTGAATATTGCTGCATAATATTTTTTCTCAATGTTCATTGTTTTTTTTTTGTTTTTTTTTCTTTTTTTTTTTTTTTTCTTAATGTTCATTGATTTTTTTTTTATTATTTTTTTTTTTCTCAATGTTCATTATTTTTCTTCTTCTCATTTTGCTTAAAGCAGAAAAGCAGCCAATGCATTTTAGGTACTGTACTCAAAATGCATTATATTTTGAGTACAGTTATAGTAGGGAAAAGTCAGGTAGCACCGGAAACTTAAGGAAAAATAGGTTGTACACATTTACTAACATAAAACAAAGTGTCGAATAACTTTTTTAAAATAACATTTATCTAATAATTATTAAAAAAAATAATATATTGTTTACCTTAAATGTTAGAATGTTAGAAAAAAGTTTCAAAATTGGAGGGTAATCCCAGAGACACGATTTAACTATGATTTTACCTAATTTTTACTCGTGTGACACAAATGTAATATATAATTTAATAGCATTGGAATGTTCTCAACACCTTAAAAAAATGGCCTTAAAAAATTGCCTCTGATATATAAGAACTGGAATTTCTACACAAATAGTTTTGAAACCAGAGAATTAAAGTATTAAACAACATTTTTTTATAATAATTATTTTAAATAAAAGTGTAAAAATCCTTAATCAATAAAAAGTTAGTAGTTAATATAAAATTTAAATATAATAATATGCGAAACAATAACTTGCACTCCCAGCTAATTGCTTTGACATATAATAATATTTTGCATGTGTCTTATTTTCACTCAATGTTTTTATAGTATTTAAAATAACATAGCTTCTTTAGTTTGAGCTGTACATCAAGTGTTTGGAGTTAATCTTCCAAATCTTTCTCCAAAATGTGCTTTGAGATAAATTACTAATACCAGAAAAGGCAATTAACAATACCTTAAAAACACTGTATATAAAAAAGTTGAAAGTGGTATTTTTCTTCAATATTATATTACTTTGTAAATTATGAGAAAGTCATAACTTCAAAGTGTGGTAGCAACCTAAAAAATGTTTTAAAACTATTAAAATTTTAACAAGATTTTTCATATACATTTAAGCATTATAGTTCAACGCCACTTAAGATAAATTAAGATGTTCATTTTTATGTTTTGCTCTAGTAAAAAACTTAATAAATTTATTTTTTAACTTTACTCTGTTAATAGATCGATACTGAGCTCAATGGTTGGTGGCAGCTCTCAAATATCTTTAGACTCTGTGGCAGACGATATTAACTATGCCAATACTTCAAATTTTAATGGTTTACAGGGTATTTAGTGTTTTTTTCATAAACATATTCTCACATTTTAATTATTTAAACAACAAAATTATTAATAATTAAATAACATTGTCTTTTTTATTGGTACTTGATTTGTTGATAGAAATATTTTTTTGTCTTAACCTTCTCGAACATTTGGTTAAATTTAAGAGCTAGAAACTATATATATATATATATATATATATATATATATATATATATATATATATATATATATATATATATATATATATATATATATATATATATATATATATATATATATATATATATATATGTATATACATTTTAAATAAAACCTCTTTTTATGGTTTAATATCTATTTGTTAAAAATATATTTATTTTTATGATATTTAGAAGGAATATAGATATCCTCGTTATCAAGTATAATAAAAACCGTTATAAAAAATAAAGCCGCTATATTATACAAAACCGTTTAAATTTATGAATGTTCTTTGTAAGAGCTTCTTATTAAGAGTTTTTTTAAGAGAGTTTTTTGTAACTTAAGACTTTGAACATGGGTTTCCAAAATGATGTTGTCATATAATTGCCATTATCATGATTAAGACCATTGTTGGGAAAGGTTCTTTCGTTGTGTTGTATTTCCAACGCTTTCCTAATTTTCCTATTGAAATTATTTGTTTCTATTTTTAAGGTATTTCGACCATCCCAGTGAAAATTTCCTTTGCAAATTATAGAATGTTTAGACACAGCTGAATTTTCATTTTACCTTGTTGTGCACTTGTTTGATGCTGGCACATCCGAGACGATATCTTTAGTCCAGTTTCACCAACATAACATTTGCCGCAAGAGCACTTTAATTTGTAAACACTGGGATAGGAATTAACTGGTAGTGTAGGTTTATTTTTGGAAGTTAGTAGAGTTTGGAAAGTTTTTGGAGACTTAAACACTAGTGCGTATCCTGCTTTTTTAAAATTTCTTAACTTAGGACTGATTCCAGGGATCTAGGGTAAAGACAAATCTTTTTGCAGAAATGTTAATTTTTTGTAAGATCTTTTTTGTTGTTAACATTTTCTTTTGTAGTCTTGTTTTTCCAGACTTTTCCTCTCATCTAGTTCATCTCTCTAGATTTCTTCTCATCTAGTTCATCTCATCTAGACTTTTCCTCTCAACTAGTTTTTCCATACTTTTCCTCAGATAGCTATTTTCTACAAATACATCGATAAGAAAAGATAACTCATTATCAATGTTTTTTATTGTGCATAATCGTAGTGCTCTATATAAAAAACCTATAAAAACGTCTATATAAAAAATCGTAGTGCTCTATATAAAAAACCAATAAAGTCACCATTGATAATTTTAGGGTCATGGCATGAGTTTGGTTTGATTTAATTGTTTGTGATTGCATTTTTGCGATGTAAAGCCAACTATAAGTTCTTATTTTTTTAAATAAAAAGCCAACTATAAGTTCTTATTTTTTTAAATAAAAAGCCAACTATAAGTTCTTTTTTTTTTAAATAAAAAGCCAACTATAAGTTCTTATTTTTTTAAATAAAAAGCCAACTATAAGTTCTTATTTTTTTAAATAAAAAGCCAACTATAAGTTCTTATTTTTTTAAATAAAAAGCCAACTATAAGTTCTTATTTTTTTAAATAAAAAGCCAACTATAAGTTCTTATTTTTTTAAATAAAAAGCCAACTATAAGTTCTTATTTTTTTAAATAAAAAGCCAACTATAAGTTCTTATTTTTTTAAATAAAAAGCCAACTATAAGTTCTTATTTTTTTAAATAAAAAGCCAACTATAAGTTCTTATTTTTTTAAATAAAAAGCCAACTATAAGTTCTTATTTTTTTAAATAAAAAGCCAACTATAAGTTCTTATTTTTTTAAATAAAAAGCCAACTATAAGTTCTTATTTTTATAAATAAAAAGCCAACTATAAGTTCTTATTTAAAAACAAAATTATTAACAATATTATAGATAAAAAAAATGAACTTGAGAGTTAAACTATTGGATTATAGTTATACCAAATGCTGCAATTATTTTAACAATTACATTTTATTTTGTACCAAATATCATCTTGCTTTTTAGTGAATGATTAAAAACAGGTAAAAAATAAAACTACTTATGATCAAATAGGAAGATAGTTCAAGTTGTCTACCAATACAAAATATTACAACAATAACATCCCTACAATTACTCTGAGCAATAACACATAACATATGAAGTTTGCAAGATCACATTACATTACACTAAATCATAACAGGTATGCTTTTTCTAATTAGTTACAAAAACCTAGACAACAGAACCTATATATACAACAGTAACTCCTCTTTGCACTAAATGTTTTTGCACCTCTACTAAGTACACTGCTTGGCTTGCAAGATAGCAGTCTTGCTCTACACTATTTTACTTTTTTTTTTGACAAATGTAGAATGTTATTTATAAAAAATAGCACTGGCTCTACACACACTGCAAGTCACTTGCTTAACATAATTATTATAAAGATTATTATAATAATATTGTTAAGTATTTAAAATCATTTATAATAGCAGGCAAAGTAAAAAAAAAACTGTATTTCCAGTAACAAAATAGGCTTAATTATTTTTTTTATTATTAATGAGGTGTTTAATATTAAAACAATAATCTTTTTTAAATCAAGTATTTTTGTAAATAAAAAATTGTTTGTATATCATTTTGTATATCATTCAAAAGTAATATTATTTCGTTAATCTAACTTTTAGAATTATATATGGATTTTTTGAAACAGTATTATTTTTTTATCAAAATTTAAAATCATTTAAATCATAAAATTTAAAATCATTAAAAAGATTAAAATCATGCAGTTTATGAGTTTCTAACTAATTTATTTAAGCAATGAAATAAAGTAATGCTCAAATAAACAAAAAGTACAAATGATAAATAAAAAGTATAATTCATAACAAACATACGTTTGTGATTGTGTACTATGAATTTGTGATTGTGAACTATGAATTTGTGATTGTGAACCCTGATTTTGTGATATAACTATGAATTTGTGATTGTTAACTATGAATATATAATTGTGAACTATGAATTCATGATTGCAAGCTTATAATTAATGATTGTAAACTCATTGTTCACATAAATTCATAATTTGTGATTGTGAACTATGAGTTTGAGATTGTGAACTATGAGTTTGAGATTGTGAACTATAAGTTTGTGATTGTGAACTATGAATTTGTGATTGTGAACTATGAATTTGTGATTTTGATTTATTAATTTGTGATTGTGAACTCATAGTTCACATAAAATCTTAATTTGTGATTGTGAACTATGAATTTCTGATTATGAACTCGTAATTCACATAAATTCATAGTTTGTGATTGTGAGTTATGAATTTATGATTGTGAACTATAAATTTGTGATTGTGAATTATGAATTTGTGATTGTGGACTATGAATTTGTGATTGTGAACTATTATTTGTGATTGTGAATTCATGTTCGCATAAAATAATAATTTGTGATTGTGAACTATGAGTTTGTGATTGTGAGCTATAATTTTGTGATTGCCAAATTTGAATTTGTGGTTTTGAACTATAAATATGTGATAGTTAACTATGAATTTCTGTTTGTAAACTATGATTTTGTGGTTGTGAACTAATAATTTTTGATTGTGAACTATGAATTTATGATTGTGAACTATTAGTTAGTGATTATGAACTCATAGTTGACATAAAATCATAATTTATACTATGAAATTGTGATTGTGAGCTATGTATTTGTGATTGTTAAACTTTGAATTTGTGGTTTTGAACTATAAATACGTGGTAGTGAACTATGAATTTCTGTTTGTGAACTATGAGTTTGTGATTGCGAACTATGAATTTGTAATTGCGAACTATGAGTTTTCGAAATAAAAAATTGAAAGACTATAAATTAGAAACAGAAATTAGAGCATTATTTGTGTTACATTTTTCACCTACCATACCTTAAATGAGATGTTAAGTTCTTTATCTTCTACTTCAGCCATTTGTTTAAATGCAAGAGCAAATAAGTTCTCTTTACTAAATATTGTTTGCAAATATAGTATTAAATCACGTAAATATAATTGTTTCATTGTTGCATTTTAAAATTGACTGCTGCAAGTGGTTATATAGATATACAATTGACAACATGTCAAAAATATTTTGATTTTGCCTAAAATTACCTACACAATAAAAACCGCATATTCTAAAACATGGCTGCTCATGGTTCATTATGATCTGGTCTAATAAAACTAAAACAATGAAAAATATGAGCTTTTATTCTAAAACATAGTAGTTCTTGATTCATTATGATCTATATAACTTCCTGTTAATAAGTTTTGTAAAGCTTGCAAAAATGATGAAAATGGTGGCCTAACTAAATTCCCACATAGACAATACAGAAAATATGTTTTATCAGAAAACTTTTTATTAAATACAATTAATTTGATCTTGCCTTTTGTCTTACATTTTTATTTTAACAGTAAATATATTCATGTCACTTATTATCAATTACACTAATAATATTTTTCGACCTTAATATAATTTCAACTCTGATTTTATCATTAAACATATTACCAGTAGTAATATTAATGTTACTACTGTAGAAACAAATGAACGTAAAAAAACCTGAAAACTTTTTTTTTGAATAACTCAGAGTAGTAGTCTAAAGTGAACAAAAGAAAATTAAATAATTTTTATAAATCATTATTAAAATTGAAAATTAAAAAAATAATAATAAAAACTGTACTAATATAGACAAAATTAAATAAAAACATGTCTTATTCTTAAGTTGTAAAAAAACGTATTTTTAAGAACATATCCGTTAAAAGTCAAATAAAATCAAATAAAAGTTAACAAAACCTGCAAAACCCTTTTTATAAATAATCCATAGTTTATATAGGTAACTGCATTTATAAGCAACAAACCAGCACAACAAAAAATAAGCACTAACTGATTATAAAATTAATTAAATATTTTTCAAAAATTTAAAATAATTGATAACATCAATTGTTTTTAATTTCACAAAGAATGTAGACAACAATGCACTATCTTCTTAAAAAATCAATATTAGGCAGTATATTTTAATCTGAAGTAAAAAAAATAGTTAAAACAATTGAATAATAAGTTTAGCAATTTTGAAAAAATATATGCTTTTTTTTTTTAAATAGAAGCTTAACACTTTGAACAACAAAAAAAAAAAATTAATTCCTTGTTACTTTTTTTAATAGAAAATATTCATATAGATACAGAGAAATATAAAATCTGCTGAAATATACACACATTTGTGTATATAAACTTAGAACTTAACAAATAACAGTCTTATTTAGCTTTTCATGTTAAATACATACAAAACTTAAATTAAAACTGAATAGTAACCATACTCAAATCAGAATCAGTTTAAATGCCTGAAAAATTTTGTTCCTAATAACCCTTTTATTAACAAAAAATGACAATAAAGTGAATTGAAATAATTTTAAGTAAAAAGTACTTTATCTTGTTCATCAAAAGTATTAAATAAATAAATTAAAACAAATAAAGAACAACATTAGTTGATAAAGAATCATTAGCTCTTATTTGTTTTATGCTTGAAAGACTTTTTAAAATTTGTTCAGAAAAACCTAGAAACTACCTAAAAAAGATGTAATGGGTATTATGATTAAAGGGTAAACTTTATTTAGAGTAATAATATTTAGATATAATTATTACTATTCGAATAATTGTTAACTTTTTTTATAATAATAAACTATATACAAATTATAAGTTAATATTGTATGTGTTATAACTATAAGTTTATATAATAGTTTATTATATAAACTATTATATAAACTAATTAATATAATGTTGTTTAATACAACCCTTGGAATTAGGGTCGGCAATGCCGACCTAACTGCCGACATGAAAGTGTTTGATGTCGGCAAAAAGTTGCTGACCTCGTTTCTATGTTTTATGGTCAGACCTTTGTATCAAATAATTTTTGCCAACCTGATGCCGACCTCAAAAAGATTGAGGTGCATATTATTGCCGACCTCATTTTTCCTAATTCTAATGGTTGATAATATATAAAATAATTGATAATATTTGATTATATTTATATCATAATAATTATATTTAATAACATACAAAAGATTGTTTACACTAATTAAAACTTTAAAAATAATTTTTGTTTTACAGATTTCCAAAACAAAAATGATGATAGCATACAGGAAGAAAAAAAGGAAATATTGAGTGATTCTGATATTAAAAAAATGGTTTGTTGTTATATTTAGCTTTAAACTAAAAATTTATTTTATATTTTGGTTTTTATTAAAAAATAACTTGCATTTCAGACTCGTAAAGCGGTTCATGTTAAGTTTGTATATACACCAATATTTTATATATTTATTCCTTATATGGCCTCATTATTTCAATCATTTTTACTTAACTAAAGATATCCTATTATCCCCCTTTTTTTCCTTTTAATTGGCAGATGGGAAGTGTTAATTTGACTTATAATTAATTTAAAAATCTTTTTTTCAAAATAATAAAAAGCTAAACAAAAATGTTTACTTATATAAGTTTATATATTTTTTTAAAAAGTAAATATTTTTACCCATTTCTTTAGAAATCAACAAAATATAACAATTGTATATTTTTTTCAACTTTATAATAAAATTATTTTATCCAATCATTATTCTAAAAAATAGTAATTCAAAAAAGCAGCAACCCATAACAAAGATCATTGTAGGTTTGTTCCAAACTAACCAATTATTTACTTGTTATTAATAAGTTTGAAATAGTAGAAAATATCGATACTACAGCTTGGCCTAAGGTTAAATGGCAATAATAAATTAGAATTTAGAATTTATAGACTATGTAATAAATTATATAGTTTATAAATTCAAATTTTCAAAATGTATATTTCTAACTGTTAACAGGATTGGGTGCTTATTGGTTTTTATGACCACGCCTTCATTTATAGATTTTCAAGAAGTTTTAGTTTTTCAATAGCTTTAATTTGTGTTAATTTTTTTTTCCTCAATAGTGTTTCAAATGCAGACTAGTTAAATTTGTTAAAAAGTATTTTAGTAACAAAAAACATTTTAATCTCAATATTTGACAAATGCATTAAACTACACTTTCTTTATGTTTTGAACATGTTTTAAAATTTTTTTTTTATTTTTGTTACATTATGCTAAATACTATAACCATTATTATGTGTTTTTAAATAAGGCTAGACAATTCAACCTAGCTTGCAAGCAGTAACATTGCTTGAAACTAAACTCTGCTAAATTACACCTTTGCTAAAATTATACTGCTTGGCTAGCAAGGTTAACTATCTTGCTCTACACATTACCAAACATGTAAACTTATATAACACATGTAACCTTACATTACACATACAAACACATTATTAATCAATTATAAACATAATATATGATATATTTCATATATCAAAATATATAAAAAAAAATCAAAAACTATAAAAAAAGTAAAAATTTAAAGTAAAAATTTGTAAGTAAAAATTTAAATGAATATTTTATGTAAGATAAATTAATTATAATAAATTAATGCACTTTGTAAAATTTTTATTCTTTTTTTTTTATTTGAAAGTATTTACACATCTGAGTAACACTCAATTTTATCACATCTGATGTGAAAAAATTGAAAATTAGTTGTTTAGCAACCATTTTTTCAATTTTAAACAATGAGGAGAAATAACTTTCCTATTGAATTTTTGAAAATCTTCATTTTTTTAAGATTTTCAAAAATTCAATAGGAAAGTTATTTCTTTCATTAAGGTAACAATTTGATCAGTACTTAAATACATTTTGACCTCTACTTGTCTTACATTTACAAGACAACCTATTTTCACAACTGGCAATATTTGTCTAAAGTCACATAAAAATAACTTCTGCTTCGGAAAAAAACTTAAAAACTTAAAAAAAAACAGAAAGTTCTTATTAAAATCATTTTTTAACAACCTATCAATTGCATTTAAGGCACGTTAAGGTATCTCTGATGTTTCATCAAGTAAAAAAAAGGTAACTTTTAAGTACTTAGGAGTAAGGAGTTATATTACATGTGCTGTTATTCAATATTGGATAGTTTGAATAAGCCATGTAATTTAGTTCTTTTGAAAGAAGAATTGCTGCTATGCAAGTAAATGCAGTTGTTGCAGATTTATAAACTCTACTTATGGATTCATCATTTATATAATTATATATAAAAATTTTTTACACTACCAGCTGGACCATCCATGAAAAACATATGAGTTGAAGACATGAATTTTTTATTGGCACTATAGAGAAAAAAATCTGCAATCAAAATATCATATTTAAATATAAAAATATGTAATATAAATTATATGAAAAACTTCCTAATTCCTCTCATTTTATCCATAAAGTTGTCTAAAGCAAAAAAGTAAAAATTAAACACTTGTAAATTTTTTAAAAGAGGGATGTCAATCACCAAAAGCAATGCTAAATTGAACTATATTAATGCTATATTATGCTATATTATGCTATATTATGCTAATATAAAACTATATTAATGCTATATTATGCTAATGTTGAATTTAATAATGTTAAATTTCAGATTTTTATAAGCTCTTGTTAAATTTTTAGTTTTATATTTTTAATTCCTCTTTTTAGAAAGAAATTTTTTTTAAAAAAAGTCTTTTTTAAAAAGAATTTTATTTCTAAAAAAAAATTTATGCTAATGCTTTTGTTTAAAAATATTTTTAAAACAAAAAATAATAATTTTATGACAAATTCAACTAAAAGGCAACTTACTTTGAAGCAATTCAACCGTTAAAAATTGAATTTTCTTTTTTTAATTTTATTCTGATTAACTTCCAACAAGGCTGCAAGCTAGGATGTCCTAAAAATATATCATAAATTAAATTTCGATATGCGGAATACTGTATTTGGCATCATTTTGTCTAAAAATATCAACAAAAAAAATAAGTCTTTGGCTAAAGCAAAAGGTTATTTAGGTGAATTTACTTTTATTTTATTAAGTTTTTTTGACTTAATAATGACTTTATTCATATTATTCCAATTACATTTGTTTTCCTAAACAAACAAAAAAATTGGTGCGTGTAAAACAAATATGCTTTTTGTAAATTTTTTTACAAAATAAATCATAAATTTTAAGGAGAAATTTGTTTTATATGCAACAAAATGAACAGCAAATAATTTTAAGAATGCAAGCGCATGCACGAATACAGCATTTTTTAAATTTTGAGGTTAACTTTCAGACATAGAACAAACTTCAAACATATATGTTTCTACTTATGTTAAATAAGGATGCTTTGCAAAGAATTGCAATGATTGGAGCCTGGAAACAAAAAAGCCCTAAAATTTTAGCTACAATAATGTATCAACTTGTTGTGTGAGAAACAAGTTAATACATTCTTTTTTTAACTATTCTCAACTAAATCTATACTCATCGATAAAATTTAAAATTGACACATAGATCTTTTAATGTTTGAAAACTATGAGCAATAAAAAGTTTGTTTCCCCTCCCCCTCAATTTGAGGGGGTTACTTATTTTTCTCAAACATCAAAAAATCAGTTTTTTCATACATCAAAAAATAATATTGTAGTATAACATAAACCAATATTATTAATACAAATAATATTTAACTAAATAATTTTAAGATCATTTTTTGTAGCGTTCTTTGAAATCTTTTGCCGGTTCCTCTGAACTACCTAAATTACAAATACATAAATTTATTAAAAGTATTACTTATACATTAACAATCATTATTATTAATAACAACTAAAAATCACATTTTTATTTCGTGTTATTGAAAATACCTGGAGGTTATCCTGAAGCATGGGTTCATTGTGTGTTCTTTCAATTAAATCTTGAATTAACTTAATGTGGCATTCTGCGCGGTCATTTACAACTACAGTGTTCTTACACATATTGAAAAGTAAGTGAAAGACTTGGAAACTTCCTTATTTTCATATGCATTGATCCCTTTTTTTTCCCTAGAATTTCTTTTTTGGAGATTTCCAGTAGCAAGATTAAAAGGTATGGCTGCTCGTTGACAAAGTTTTCAACCTTTGTTTCAGGCCTCTTTTAAATCAGATCTTTTAACTCCGGGATATCGAGAGCAGCTTGTTTAACATGTTGGTCATAACTTTCGGTTTTCAGATTCTTATGAGCAAGAGCAAAAAGTTGCGGAGATACCAAGTATGACACATGGTAGAGAACCTTTCCAAGATACCAAGTATGACACATGGTAGAGAACCTTTCCAAGATACCAAGTATGACACATGGTAGAGAACCTTTCCAAGATACCAAGTATGACACATGGTAGAGAACCTTTCCAAGATACCAAGTATGACACATGGTAGAGAACCTTTCCAAGATACCAAGTATGACACATAAGACTTTGGTAGAGAACCTTTCCTATTACTGCAAATTCTTTAAACTCATCTGCTGTTTGTAGCTGAAAAACAATATTGAACGCCATTAAATCATTTGAAGGTGCTTGAGAAGCATTGGGGTGAAGGTAAATGAGTCTTATAAAAGAGGAAAACAATAAAGAACAAAGAGAAAGGTAATAGAGTGAAGAGGAGATAAGCAGAAGCATGTAAAAGAATTAGGTCAAAGAATTTGAAAATAGGTCAAAGAATTTGAACCTAATTTTAAAACAAATAGGTAAATTTATGCATATGTATACCTCAAGCCAAGCATAATACTATTGGTGTCTTTACAAGTTAAAGGATAGTACCCATCAACACTGAAATCAGAAGAAGGAATAGCGGAATTTAAATTAGTCTTACTAAGAGCAAGCAAGTCTGGTGAATTTTGCAAGAAGTAAGACTCAACTTATGGAATGTTGATTTGCAGACCACAAATATTTGTAAAAAATATATTAAAACAGTTAGGTGGTGGGTATAGTTATGTTTAATATTTTGGATTACTTTTGGCATGATTTATGAGCACAGCCTCTTAAGAAATGTGCTATGCAGTTGTCATTCCTGTTAATTAACCCTAAGTTGTAACATAGGACTCCTTATGTGGCCAGGCTTATCAGTAACTTATCAGTAGAGTCAAGGAGATTCAGCATTTATCCTCTTAGGTAGGAAACAGTATAACACAGGTTTACATTTATGCCAGCCTAATAGATGAAAAAGGAGTTTGAGGCTGGTTAACCTAATTATTTTGTTTACCCCCAAATTCTTTGCCATAAAGATCTTTTTAAAGACAGTAGCTGGATGCAGTTAACATCTGCCCAAGATAAGTATTTTTA